GTTTAAATACATATATCAATATAAAGAATGCTCTTACAGCCTTTCATCTGGGAATTAAAACAATAGAAGATATCTTGATAAGAGATTCATCCACAAAACTCAAATGGGACCAATTAGCTACCAGAGAAAAGTTTGCCATTAACAGCATAAATCTCAGAAGAACTCCCAACTGGTTTAATGAAATTAATATTCCTTCCAACATTAAAGAAACTTCATTCACAATTCCATGTCCTGAAAATCGATTCTTTGCTTTCATAGATAGTTTTTCTCTCAGGATTATTAAGAAAATCGATTACTTATTTGACATATCCATCACTGGAACGTTATTTGACAGAAACATCAATACAATCTCTAAGACAAACACAAAACTTTCGATTCTTCCTCAAACTAAAACTCTCTCAATTTGGATTAAATGCAAAGAAAAACTAACTATTCTCAATCCGATAAAAGAATTAATTGACATATTAATGGACACATCTCCACAAATAAATCACCAAATCACAATTCCTTCTATTTCAAATCATTTACTTCATACTCCCGAATGGAAAGTTGCTATTGTACCACAAGCAATCACCATAACAGGAGCTACAACTTATTCTTTCAAACCACTAGAGGATTGTTCCTTGGGTCTCCACTTGATAGTTAAACATATCTGTCTTAAGGCTCAGCCCAACTCATCTTTCACTATTTCATCAAACAAAATCCTTAACTTGACAGTGCCCTTTTATATCAATAGAAGAATCAAATCAACACACAGTCAATACAAATCTGATATCACCCATCTCATTAATCAAAAAAACTTAAATATTACTTTTAATACTCAGGAAATTATACTTATACCCACCTTGAATCTTGAAACTCTTGATTGAAAACCATTAAGCTTTTCAACTTCTCCTCTTATCTCTGGTATCCCTTTTTAAACCCCATTTCATGAATAAAGATAATTACTAGGACCAAAAAAAAACTTCACACTAGATTAATAAAATTATGGACAAACAGATCAGAATAGGACTTAGATCTGATCCTCATCGAACAACACAAACAGTCTACAACACATGAAAAATTCAAGTTCTTTGCACTACTGGCTTTCAGGATTAATATTCTCTGTCGCAATCTATCAACAAGAGTAAAATTAAATGGCAGATATCCTCAACTCTACCCCAGTAACCTTTGTCCATGTTGTAACTCTGCTCCAGAATACTTCGATCACATCTTTGCTTGTTTTGAGAATCAGATTACCCTTGAATCTAAAAGGAAAAAAATAATAACTTTAATCAACAATCTCATTGACATAAGCAACAAAATTAAAAATAAAACAGAAGCAAAAAATATCATCAATAATATATCAGTTACTGGACTCTTATTATATGAATGGGCAGCTGGTATTTCAACACCACCAATAGATTTATCCAATAAACACAAAGGCTCGATAGCAAAAAAAGCTCTTGAAATCATTTTTAAATACATATGGACTCCAAGATCAGTAACAGCTAATACTTTCCCCTCCTTAGGAATAAAATGGAAAAAAACTACTAATCCAACTCAACAACAACCTGTCCCAAAAAAAATCTTACTCTCCACTGAACTATTTTTAAACTGCTTCTCAAAAACTAATCCGATCAATATTATCGACTTAGTAATAAATATTTACATCAATGAAATTTATCAAATTAACAATATATCCCCAGCACTACCTAACACTGTTCATGGATAGAGCAAGCACTGTTTATCCTTACTTCTCTTAGTAAGCCTCTTTAAGGTATTGAAAAGTTTAGTAAGTCACTGTGTCTAAGCGAATATTTGTAATTTAGTAATATTCTAATTATCGATACTTGATGTAACCTTGATCTTTTGATCTCATAATTGTATAAATTATATATATATAATTAATAAAAGTCTTGCATCTCTTGCTTTGTTCGCAGTTAAAAAAAAATAAAAAATAAAAAATAAACAAAAATAAAAAATAAAATTAAACAAATATAGTTAAGATAGGCTTGGATAACAAGCAAGGTGGCAGGCTACACCCAGATAATCTATAGTACCTGTGAGTAGATTCTAGTTAATATAAAATAATATAGTTTAAACTTTATATATGTGATTCATATATAAAAAACTATTTATATTAATAAATTAAAGTAAAGTTTTACTTAGCCAGAAAAAAAAAATAATATACTGTATAGTTTTCACTATACTTCTAACTCATAATTAACATATAATTTATATTTTTTATAACTTACTTAACATATATATAGTATAGTATATACAGATTATTTTTACTAAAATAAAAAATTTTTGATTTTTTTTTTAATAAAATTTAGCAATAAAATACTTTATTATATTATTGAAATTCAAATTAATTTTTTTTTATTGATAATAAATATCTTTATATATTATTCATTATTAAAAAAATAATTAAACCCATAAAAATATATTTATTTATTTTTATTTTTATTTATTTTTTTTTAAGGTGAAAAGTACTAGACGTATTGGTTTTTATTGAGAATTTATATCCAATATTGCAATTATATTAAAGGTCCATTTAAGTTAACCCGTTCCTTATACCTATTTAACCCAACTATACCAACTTATCACCACAAAGGTGGGGCCCGCATGCTGAATGGAACAAATTCAGGGGGTGGAAAGTCCTGCTGCCAGTTTAAATCCAACCTAACCTGCTAAGTCCTGATTCGGCAACCCTTATGGCTGCTCGCGGTTAAAGAACTATAGAGTGTTATTATAGAGACCAATCCCAGTCACCCTAGTCACCTGTTATCACCAGTCCTCAGGATGCACTACTAGCATAATGTAGTACTACCGTTTTCATCACTTGTAGCCATGGCATCTTTACTTGGATTCCTGATTATTCTTGTTTTGATCCTCGATAGACTCACTTGACTTAATGATTTTTGCCTATTTTCTTATCATCTGTGGCTGAAGATCTTGCCTTGTGTGATCCATATTTTTAGCTCGAAGAGTATCAGTATGGGATAGATCTCAAAGTACCAGATTGGGATAGACTGGTTTAGGACCTGCCTCTTTTGTTCACACTTTGTGTTACGGAGTCTGCCATGCCAGGAGGGTTTGTGAGCTTTTATCAGAGTTAGATCAGAAGTCTTTCCTTATACAACCTTTTCTGCTTTGACCTGTTTTCAGCCCACGATCGTCAGAAAGACCAGAGGTCCCATCTTCATGCAGCCTAACAGAATATGGATATGATCCAAATGTCTGGGTATGATATTTGTGACAATCCGGTAAATCCACAAATAAAGGATAAATTTATGCATTTGCTCCTTGTGGGTATTAAATTAGGGACATGCATTTGGAGACTATGGAGTACTACCCATGTGCTATTGACCTACTGGTCTTTTATTTTTATTTTTTATTTTTAAATATTGTACAATTATATATACAGTATATTATATATGTGATGTAAATTATTTTGTTGTTGACTCAATTGCCAAAATCCTTAAAAATAATTGTGTTTGACTCAATTATTTTATATGTTTTAATAGTGATTCAATTAATTGTATTAAATAATTATGTCAATTGTGTCAAGGATCTATCAATTTCTATTATATGTATATAGTATATTATTAATTTTAATTAACAAATATATTTTTAATTTAATCTAATAGTTATATAATAAAAAACTTATTTTTTTTATCTATAATATATTGTATTTTTTATAATTAATTATTGGTTTTTTTTTTAAAAAAAATAATTTTATTAATTAAAAATTAAATTAATATATTTATAATCATTTATATAATAATTTTTTTTTAAAAAAACCATATTAAATTTTTTTAAAAAATTTAGGTTTAAAAATATTATTTAAATTTTTTTAAAATTATTATATTTAAAATATAAACAATCTAAAATATATATTATAAAAAATTAAAAATTAAATAAATTTCAATTTCAATCTTTATTTAATTTAAATAATTATTTATTAAATATTTTATATTATAAAACAATTTTTTATAAATATAAAATATATTTATTATCAATATATAAATATTCATAAATTATTATTATTTTGATTATTATTAACTATATATTATATTATATTAAATGATATTTATTATTGTATAATTTTAAATTATTAAATATTTTTTTTTATTTAATTAATTAAATGTAATATATAGTAATAATTAAAGATATTTAAAATAGAAAAATAAAATACCAAAAATATCAAAAATATCAATAGTATCAAAAATTAAAATTAATAATAGATTATTATTTAATACTTTTTTTTTAAAACTATTAAAATCAAATAAAATTGTTATATAATATAATTGTAAAAATTCATAATAATTTATTTATAATATTAACTAAAATATAATATAATATATAATATATACAATATATTTTAAAATATTAAAATATTAGATAATTAAATATTTAGAATTAATATATATAATTATTTTTTATAAATTAAACTTAACTTATATTTCAGACTAAATACTTGCCAATATATAAATTTTATTATATTTGCAAATAAAAAAAAATGTGATTAATAATTTGTTTTATATGAAAAACTGTTATTGAACTGATTAATAATAATGTTTTATTTACTTTAATTATTTATTAATATATCATCAGATTGGCATACAATGCAATATAAAGGGTAAGGTAATCAATTTTATACTTTCTTAACGATAACGTAATGGTTAATTGTTATCTTTGAAAAAATAGTAAAAAAGAATTTCATAAAATAAATAAAAGTATGATTTACTAATTTCTATTATGTTTTGGATATTTTGAATAGTTTAATATTTTAAATATTTTTTATATGTAATTCACGAAAAAATGTATTGCCAACGATATAATTCATCCTAATAAAGCAACATTAAATCACTCATTATACCTACTTCAATAGCTCGCCAAAATCTCTTGATCTCAACACGTGACCCTTGCGACATCCGCTACAGTACACACGTTTGCTAAATTCTTTCTACTGTATATTATAAAGCGGTTACCAACTTCATTCTAAAAATCGATCACTTTGCGACTTCATCAATCAATATATGAAGAATCCAAATGCCAGCCCTTCTCCCATTAATTATCTTTGCAATTTCTGTGTGCCTTCATAAAGTTTAGAACGTAGTCATAGCAAGCTGAATATTTTGTTTTAAATTACAAAAGACGCAATCACAACCAAAAAAACTTGGATAACAGAGCCAAATAACAAATTATAATTTTCAAGTATATCGGAGGTAATATGTAGCATATATGCATTTCTATTCACCGCTTAATTTTGTATCCTTGTGAGGTCTTCCATTCTCAGTTCATCCATTTGATACAAACATATACGTGTTTCACGAGAACTACAGAAATATGCGATTATTTATTCTCGCGTTTTGGATGATTTTATAATATCAAATAGAGAATGATTGAAGCCATAGAATTTTCGCAATCTTTTGTAACTGTAGAGACGAGTAAGAAAATACATTAACAAGCCGTGAATAGTGAATATGATTTTTATAAGATATCCTTGATATTTATTAAGATTTTATGAAAAATTTATACAGTATTTAAAAGTTTATGTAATTAGTGATCGAATTATACAAAGCAAGACCGGACTAAGTTAGAACTGGATCTCCTAGTAAACACAAGAGAAGAGTTTGGTATTGTAATTCCGATCCCTCCTATCATTATGCTTTACTATCGATAGGAACTTTTAGATCATCATTGTGAACTTTTAGATTATCATCGTGAACTTTTAGATCATCCTCATGTGCATGATGATAAAAAATTTTGGATACAAAAGATAAATCGCTATTATCAGAATTGATGTTTTTAGCTAAGTATATGATGGTAGCTGTTGAATAAAGGATGGTGGAAGTAGCATAATTATATAATTCATTGTTGGAAAATGTATATGTAATTAGCGCTAACTCGAGTGTTCGTAGAGTACAGACCATGGCGTAAATGTTATGCGTCAAGGGTTTAATACAAATGTAGGAAATTGTGAATAGAATGGTCGTCATAAGGGCAATAAACAAGAAAAAAGCAAATGACGTCGGCCCGTAAATAAGACAGGTAGTATACAATAAGAAGAAAAAGTGAAAAGGATGAAAAAGAGACATGGATACTTCAAACACACTGTATATGTGATATCCATTGCACCCAAATAATAAAAATGTTTCATGATTGGGGTGACGTTGCTGAAATCTAAATTCATAAAGAGATATAAAAAACGAACAGAGTGACGCAACAATGATGGATATAGAGGAAATTTGTAAGAAGACAGCTAAATAAGATTCTCGTGTTTCTATATGAAAATAGGAGGGAATTAACAGCACCAGAGCTGGTAAAACGATTTGCATAAAATCATTGAAAGCTCGTTTCCATAAAGCTACATCACCACCTGCAGCTTTAGGAATGATAAAAAATAGGTATATAATCGGTAAGATGCGGTTATATATAAATTTCAAATTCTCAAATATATCTTCTCGTTCGTGAGCGATAGTGCTCTTGGCAGGAAATATTCTGTTGACAGCATTTGTGCCCTGTGCATCCACAAATGAAAGATGCATTAAGAGTAAATGGCACGCAACGATAGAAACGATGTTGTATGTTTTCATTATTGAGTTTTTGAAAGTATACGTACTCTGAAGTACACTCATAAGAAACGGACGGCAGGACAGAATAAATACGAAAATTAAAGTCTGTGCAACAAAGTCTTGTATCAAGGAAATTGACTTTTTACTGCACGCCAACATTATTTATTCTCAGAACTTTTTCCACGCAACGCATTCTTACCAAACATTTCTTCGCACCGTACTGCATGAGCAACCACTTTTACATCATCCGAATAATTTGAATTAAAGTTTTTTGTACCTCGGGACTAATTTAGCTTGCATTCGCTTTTTCAAATGCAAAACTCGTTTACGGATCACCACGTCAGGCTGTCATGCAAAAAAAGCCGCATAAATAAGTGAATACTGTATTTAGCATGTCTAACCTTTTATGAAGGTAACCAATTTTATTTAATATAATTCATTGTTTACTGATCAAATACTTCGATTTCAGATTTCTTTTTGTTGCTATTATTCAGACTCAAATCACCATGACGTATTGCATGTAAAAGGAAAAAAAATGGTGATGACATAACTCATGTAGCGATGCGAATTATGTAAAAGGTAATAATCGACGACCCACATGAAAGTAGTGATGACGTTACTATGGAGTAATGCTTATTATGTAAATAACGGAGATCCTTAAAAGTAACTTGGGCAAAACGGCGGCAAAGGCAAACCTGGCAAGTTTATTGTGCAAGATTAATCTTAAATTTAATTTGATTGTGATGTTTTTAAAATACGATATACTGTAGTCATATATTAACTAGAAAACCGGAAACCGTTATGCCCGAAGTACATAAATTATTAAATAATAAGAATGTTGCATATTACAAAGTTAAAAATTTAAATTTAAATAATAATAATAATTTCGTTAAAATTTTATTTCTATTTTTATTTAAAAAAAACATTTGACTTTATTCACTAAATGCTTATTTTTACATTACTAAATTTTTTCTTAAATAAATAAATAATTAATTAATTAAAAAGATTTTATAAAAAATTTTTAAATAAATATACTATATACAGTATATATTGTATATATTACTTTTTTTAAACAGAAATTAAATAATTAATTAAAAAAGTAAAATTTTAAATTTTAAATAAAAATAAAAATATTAAATTAAATAATAAAATAATTAATAAAGTAATTTTAAATAAAATTATTTTATAAACTTTAATTTAATTATATTTAAATTTATTAATTTTTTTTTTAATAATTTTGGCCAAGTTGAAAATAAAAATATAATTGCTATTTTTTTTTTTGCAATACTTTATATAAAAAAAATATTATTATAAAATTATGTTTTGATTTTAAAATAATTAACCAATTCTTTAATTATATTAATATTTTATATTGTTTTACCTTTAGAAAACTATTTTGATAATATATTAAAAGTAATTATAAACAATACTTTTTTTATGATATTCAATAAAATAATTAAATAATTTTTTATTATAAATTAAAAATAATTAATCAAAAATAAAATACATTAATTTAACAAAACAAGAATATAATTTACAATTAAATCATAAACAAATTTATTAAATTGTAATATAAAAATATTAGAAAGTAATTTTTAAAAAAATATTTTTTTAAAAATCACAAAATCACTAAAAATTTTTTTTTAATAATTTCAAAAAATACTTAAAAAAATATTCAAGAAAAATACTTTATTTGAAAAAACTATATCACCTTTCTCTAAAAATATAAAAGAATAATATAAACAGATATACTTTATTTGAGAAAACTATATTACTTTTCTTTAAGAATATAAAAGAATAATATAAACAGATATACTTAAATTTAAAATACTAACATCTTTTTATTTAAACAAATAAACAAATATTTGTAATTTTTTATTGAAAAAAACAAAACAAAAAAAACAATTCATAATAAAATTAAAAGAGAAAATCAGTATCATATTTTATAAACTACTAGTTAGTTATATATCAAGTTAAATATTTTCCTAAATATCAGTAAGACTTTGTATCAGCCAAATTATATTTAATAAATCAAATAATTTTATATACTAATACAAAATTAAAAGAATATCAAAACTTTCTCCTTATTATAATTAAAAGAAAAAATATAGATCTTAACAAATTTATAAAATAAATAATATCTGTTATATGATCAAACTTATATTGGAGCCAAAAATAAAAAATAACTTATTCCTATCAAAAAATTAACAAATAATATAAATATATTTCTTCTTATATCAAAATAACTAAACAAATATGTCAAACTTTAAAAATCCAAAATTAAAGTTTAGATATATCCTATTTTAAATATAGTAACAAACAAGTTTAAATTAAAAATTATATAAATAACAATATTTACAATAAGGCTTTTAACAATATTATCTTAATACTTATTCAATATCAATTCGATACTTAAATTTACTATAAATTATATAAGTGAATTACAACTCATATATTAAATTTATTATAGATTGATACTATTTTAATATTACTTTGATACTGATTTGATACTTTTCAAAGCCTTAACCTATAGCAAAACAAATAATAATAGACTCAAAACAAAACAAGAAAATATATGTCAGCATATTATTAGATCAACATTAATATAATATAAAACAAAATATATTGACATTAAGATATATCAATATCAAAATACATCAATATCAAAATATATTGATATATCAATACTATAATATATCAATATTAAAAATATATAACTAATTAGTTAATAGATTCTCACTAATATATATAAAATATTCAATTAAATCCAACTAGAGCTTCTAATAGTATCACTTCGATACTTGTTTGATACCAGTTCAATACTTAAATTTACTATAAATTCATATGAGTAGGTCACAACCTATATATTAAATTTACTATAGATTAGTACTATTTCAATATTACTTCAATACCAGTTCAATACTTTTCAGAGCCCTAGATTCAATCTTCTATCAATCAATAGAAATTCAAATAATTAACTATTTAAGAATATTAAAAGACAATTGTATTTCTTATAACTAGAAATAAATTAAAACACTTCCTCAAAACACTTACAACAATTTCTCTTTAAAAATTCCTAAATTAAAAATAATAATCAATACTACTATCCTTAATACAATAGTAGCAAAGCTACTTAATATCAATTCTTTAATTATGATCAAATGGATACTCATTAAGAAATATATTAAACAAGTTTAAAAACATAACAACTTTGATATAGAAATCTTAAACAGATACCTAATAGATAATTACTTATAAATTTAACAAATATTAAGTCACCAAAAGTTTCAATTTAACAAGAAGTTCAAAATATAGAAACATATTCATCTTTAATACAATTATAAGAAAAAATAATAATACTTTAATTACTAGATAACAAAATAATACAGTTCAAATAAAAGAAGATCCCAAAGAGAAACTGAACAAAACAAGTGATATGTCTTTGAATCCTATAACAATAAAAATAATAACAATTAGAGAAAGAGAAAAAAAAAAGAAGAAGCTTTAATATACACAATACAAAATAAATATATTATAACTATAGAAAACTATTAATAAGAAATAGACAATATACAGTATATCAATTAATTTTTATTTTATTAGTGAAATAGATGATTTTAAAATTGAAGCACTTATAGTCAATACACTTGACAACTCACTAAAAGAACAAATCAATATATTGCAAATCTTTTCAAACTTTCTAACAAGAATAATCAACTTATACAAATACTATTTTATAATGGAAATAAATAGTACACTATTTAGTTCCAATATAAAGAAGATATAGAAAGATGCTTAAACAAATTATAGAAGAAAAAAGAAGACTTCAAATTTATTATTTTAAAACAATATAAGTATACACTATTTTTAGAAATATATAATAAACAAGCAAGTCAAAAAAAAGACTTCAAATTTATTATTTTAAAACAATATAAGTATACACTATTTTTAGAAATATATAATAAACAAGCAAGCCAAAAAAAAGACTTCAAATTTATTATTTTAAAACAATATAAGTATACACTATTTTTAGAAACATATAATAAACAAGCAAGCCAAAAAACAATTATAAATATAACAAGTACAGGCTTTTAGAAATAATAATATATATTAACTAAGAATCAAGTATAATATAATTTAGGACAAAAACAGAGAAAAATAATTGCAAAATTTTATCAACATATTAAAAGTTTCCCTATTATATAAAAAAATTCAAATAAAAACTCTTTCCACTGATTCTTTTGCCAATCTCCAAAACAGATATTCTCAAAAATATTTTTTATTTTTAATAATAAAGTCTATACACTTTTCTTAAAAACTTTATTTCCTGAAGGCTGATACTTTCCTCATTTGTCTAC